CCTGCGCTTCTACCAGCACCTGGCGTCGCTGGGCGAGGACGGGCTGCAGCTGCTCTTCTGCCACCGCTGGCTGCTGCTCTGCTTCAAGCGCGAGTTCCCCGAGGCCGAGGCGCTGCGCATCTGGGAGGCCTGCTGGGCCCACTACCAGGTGAGCGGGAGGGGGGCGCGGAGGGCAGGCAGGACCACATCCCGGAGCCACAGTCCCCACCCTGTACCCTGCCTTCCAGGAGGCCAGGGTGCCACGTAACCATGCGTCTCCTCTGGGGCCCCTCCTCCGGAGCCCTGGCCGCCCGCTAGCCCAGGTCAGCGCCTCACACTGCCCGCCTCCGTCCCACGTGGCCGGCTCCAGAGCCGCACTTCGCCTCCCAAGGAACTGAAATCGATGCAAATTGCCCGCTGAAGCGCTCACTGCCCCCTTCTGGGGCTGAGCTGCCCCTGTCACAACCCATCAGCGTGAAGGACATTTCCAGGGCCAGGCAGGGCCCAGGACACCGTGGACCCACACGAGGGAGCCAGTGCCCGCCCACCCCCTCCCCTCGGGTGGCTCAGTGCACAGGCCGTGACCCCGCCGTCCCCTCCCGATCACGTCAATTTCCACCTGCCGTCCACCGTGATCAGCGTCTCCCGGGTGCCGGCGGGTCACAGGGCTCTAACACCGCGTGCGCGACAGCTGGCGATGCTGAAGGACAGGCGAGTCTGTGAATCCACCAGCCTTTAAGAAACCAGGATGGACCCCTCGGGAGGCCGCCAGGACCCTTAGCAAGACCCTCTCACGGGGCAGCCAAGCAGCCTCAATTCCACAGACCGTGCAGGTGGACGGAGCACCCACCAACCCCGCGTGATCGGGGAAATGCCGCCCGTGGGGACAAGCGCTGGCGTGGACGTCCGAGCTCTGCGGCACGCCCCTGTGACCGAGTCTGCTTTCGAGGCTCACGGCCTCGCTCCAGCAGGCACATGGCCACCCTCGGTGCATTGCGTCTGGCACCGCCCGGCGGGGGCGTTTCTCCCGCGACTCCGTTCCTGCCATCTGGTCAGAATTCCCGGGGACGCCGTGCGGATGTCTGTCTGGGCTCCACCTCCACAGATCCAGCTCCCAGCATTTTCAAGCTTCCAGCTCAGCCTAGCCCCACTTGGCTCCTCTCCTCGATCGTTATGGAGGGGGGGTGAGGACAGTGGGGGTACGCTGACTCATCAGTAGTGAGCTTGGGGCGGGGTGTCTGTAATTTTTTAAAAAATATGTTTTTAATGATTTGAGAGAGAGAGGGAGGGAGAGGGAGTGTTAGAGAGAAACATCGATCCGGTGCCTCCTGTGCATGCCGACTGGGGATTGGACGAAAAACCCAGGTATGTGCCCTGACTGGGAATCGAGCGGGTGACCTTGGAGCCCCCCCAGGGCCCTTTCCCTTTGACGGGCTGGTTCTAGCCACTTGCGACTGGTTCGCCTTCGGGGCTGTGTCCTGGGAACTGGAATTAGCCCTGTGCTGCCGGCCGCCCCATTCAGGGCACGTGACACCCTTTCCTCCCCACCGGCCTCCCGGGAGGGGGAAGCCCACCTTCCTGGAACCTTCTGCCGTCTTCCCACCCCGGCCAGAGGTCAGACAGCCGGGCAGGGTCCTCGGCGCCCAAACGAGGCCATCCGGGCCGTTCTGGGGAGGGGGCGCGTCCTGGCCCAGCAG